AAAACAGTATGTAATTATATGTGTTTTCTGATGGTCTTAGGTGACCCCTGTGAAAGGGTCGTTTGACCCCCAAAGGGGTTGCGACGCACAGGTTGAGAACCGCTGTTCTAGAGGAAACCAAACTAAGAAAGAGGTATATTTTCATCTCCTACCTGTATAAGTCTGTAAAGGTCTATTTCTACTACTTTATTTATTTATTTTAAATATATTATATTGATTTTTTACAGAGAGGAAGGGAGAGAGATAGAGAGTTAGAAACATCGATGAGAGAGAAACATCGATCAGCTGCCTCTTGCACATCTCCTACTGGGGATGTGCCCGCAACCCAGGTACATGCCCTTGACCGGATTCGAACCTGGGACCTTTCAGTTCGCAGGCCAATGCTCTATCCACTGAGCCAAACCGGTTTCGGCTATTTCTACTACTTTATAACAAATTACTTTTTTACTAAGATTTGAAAAAACACAAAACTTCAACTTTATCATTTACTGACCACCTACCAAATGCAAGGTTTTGGGCTAGGTGTTTTTATCTCCTTTACCCCTCCCACCCAAAAGGATATACCGAAACATGGATTTAAGAAATGTGATTTGCTTGGATGTTTTATCTACTTACTAAATTACATAAATTTATAAAGTTTTATCTACAAATTTATTTACTGTTGGATACCTTCTAGATCTGCCAGTACAATGTTGACTAGAAGTGGTGAAAGCAGATAACCTTGCCTTATTCCCAAAGTTAAGGAAATACCTTTATTTTTAAATCAAGAAATATTATTTTTACCTCACCTGTGTTCATATGGAAACTTTGCACTACTGCCTAGTTGTGACAAATATCAAAGGTTTTCATGCAGTATAAATTGGTTAATAATGAATTACTGATTATTGATTTTTATTAATTTTAGGATCATTTCCTTAGTGCCTATATCTAAGTCTGAGTTATATATAAAACTAAAATGAATGCATATGTAAAAGATATATGCAGAACAAATTATCAATTAAAATATATCTGAATTATTGATTGGCTAATTATATAGTTTAAATTTTAAGGTCAATTACGAATTTTCTTGTGTTAGGCAGGCGTGGCTAGATAATTTTGGAAAAAAGCTCCAGGTGGCAATTTTTCCTTTAATCCTAATTACTTATGCTTGCACTTGTCTTTAGTAACTGTAAAAAAACTGATCATGTAAATTTATACAGCAAAAATGTGAGATTGCACAAGAAAACATTACTTAAGCTCTTAAGCCCTGGCTGGCGTTGCTCAGTGGTTAGAGCATTGGCCTGAGGGTTTAATTCCAGTCAAGGGCCCATACCTGGTTTGCAGGTCAGGGCTGTGTGGGAGGCAACCAATCAATGTGTCTCTCTCAAATAAATGTTTCTCTCTCTCCTCTTCTCTCTCTCTTTCTTTCTCCCTCTGCCCTCCTTTCCACTCTCTCTGAAAATCAATAGAAAAAATATCCTCTGGTGAGGACTGATTAAATAAATAAATAAATAAATAAATAAATGAATAAATCAATCAATCTCTTAAAAATCCTTAAAGAGATGGTGTCACGTAAATTTGAATGTGACCGTAGCCTATAATTCCCTTTGAGATTTTTGTAAATTAAGTTCACAAATAAATGTAATCAAATACTGAAACATATTAGGCAAAATCATTTCTGGAGCATCTGTGTAATCCATGGAAACGGAGGGAGTTGACATTACAAAGTAGGCAGGTGAACAGGTACACACAGAAACACATGCCTTCAGTGTCTCCCCCCACACTCCCAAACATGTTTTCTTGATCTTATAGGAGACGAACAAATGGTCCATGAAATCCTGATTTTATTATTTAAAACAGAGGATCTAAATTGTTAAAACTCATTCAAGTAAGGCTCTACCTCAAGAAAAAGACAGTACTTTTGAAAATTTACATGTAGTACCTGGATCCTAAGTTAGTACAGTAAGGAATAGATATTGTTCAATTTGAACTTAATAAAAATAAGTGAATTTTTAAAAAGTTTCTCTGATATATGTACTGGCTAACCTTTTACTCATATTCTAAACAGGCAAATTATTTGATAAAATAGATGAAGCCTGAATGTTTTAATAACAAAGTAGAGATACGAGAAAACTTTTTTTTTTTTTGTTAATCCTCACCTGAGGATATTTTTCCAATGATTTTTTTAGGGAGAGTGGAAGAGAGAAGGAAAGACAGAAAGAAATATCCATGTGAGAGAAACACATCGATTGGTTGCCTCCTGCACAAGCCCTGCCCAGGGCCTGGGCTGGGGACGAGCCTGCAACAGAGATATGTGCCCTCGATTGGAATCGAACCCGGGCCCTTTGGTTTCCAGGCCGATGCTCTAGCCACTGAAACAAACTGGGGAGGGCCAGAAAACTTTTAACTTTTAAAAAATACTTTTTGAAGAGGTAAATCATTCTCATGTTTTGAATATCAAAAGTTTAAATATGAAAACAGTGAAAAGTCTTTCCTATATCTTCCATCTGCTGATTTCTTACACCTCAACAATTAGTTTGTCCTAGTTTAATGCATATACAAGCCAACACATTATTTTGCACCATTTTCCTGCCTTTTTTGTCATTTAACAACAAAAAATATCTCGGAGATCTTAATATTAAAACATAAAGAACTTTGTCATTTTTGTTAACAGCCATTAGTACATAACACATATCCAAATGTATGGATATATCATAACTTAGTGTCCTATTGATGGATATTTAGGCTGTTCCCAGTAATTTGTTATTTTCAGCAATACAAGAAATACCTTATAATTTCTCATTTGTGAAACTATATCTGTGGGATAAATCACTAGAAGTGAAATCAGAGGTTCAGAGTACATATGCATTTGAAATTTTGATAGATACTGACAAATTCCTGTTTCTTTATAGCCTAGTCAAAGCAGTGATGCCAGGTATAAATTTATGCTTTTTCATTTAGAAATGCACTAAGAAAAATCGGCTACCTATTAAAGAATTAGAAAGAAAGCAGGATCAGTTTATTCAGCAATTTACAGACTACTTGTTCACTAAAATACACTCAACAGAAATTTATTGTGTACCTACTGCATGCCAAGTGCTTTTAGGCACTTGGGAAATATATAACCCCTCTCACACACAAATCAAACTAAAATATCTGGTTTTGTGAAGTTTACATTTGAACTGTACATTTTGATACTTTGAAAGAAGCCAGTTGTATGTCAATATCCTGAAATGGAACTGTTGAGATCCTGAGCACAGGGCCAGTTACATGCTCCACTGTTATTTAAAACTAACTGGAGTCAATGTTGCATATACTAGTAATTGTGCAGCTCCCCACCAGGTCCTTTTAAAACAAGACACTTGGGTGACAGCTCTTTTTATTTGACTCCATCTGCTGTGGATAGTGATCAGCATACTCTGGGCATTGTGGTATCATCTGAGATTAGGTTATGAAATAGGAAGTAGGGTTACAGGAAGATCAACATATATACAAACTGTTGCTGAAACCAAGGTGTCTAATTCAGGTTTGGAGAGTGGGGAAGATAAGGTTACTGGCACATTCCCATCAAGGCACAGTTTCCTTTTTACAGTCTGCTTTTGTTTTGTTTCTAGAAAGAGATCACAAGGGATTCTATAAAAAATAGTTTCAGAAGCAAACAGCAGTAATACTCAGTATGCTGAACAAGGGAACAGAAAAGGCAACAGGTTGGAAACAGAGAGACAGAAAAGACAATCAATGCCAAGGAAAGGGTGGTAGCAAGTACAATTATATAGTATGGTCTCAGACTTATTTTATTTTTCCTTTCTGACAGGAGAATATCCTAAAATGTTAGCCCTCCACTATATTTAATTTTGTAAGAAGGTGGTAAAGTACAGCTCTTAAAGTCTTGCCAATATCCTAGGGAGTTCTTTGCAGCCTTTAAAAAGCAATTGGGAGTTCAGCTTGTGATAAGAAAGCCAGACACAATAGCATCTTCAAGTATGAGGTGAAGAACAGAAAAGAGCTAATTCCAGCGAGTGGCTCTTGAATCATATCTTGGCTGTTCCCCCTAACGCCAATTATTAAAATTTAAAATCTCATCCCAGCGCCATAATAGCCACAATCAACAGTTGGTTACTGAATGAGTTGTTTCTGAGGTCCTAATACTGTACTTATTGTTTTTCAGTTATTGAATTTTATAACTAGAAGAAGGAGCCCTAAGTTCAGTCAACACGCTCTTTTGATAGCTGAGGTGGAAAAGGGTGAAGTGACAATGGCAGAAGTCAGGTCTCTTTCTAGATTTCCAATCCAGTAGAACTCTACACAGGATCACCAATGAAAACCCTTTAACGCCTGATTTCTGGATTCTGGGCTGCCACACTGCAAACTGGAATGAGGACACTGCAGCCCCCGTGGGGCATGGACACAGCAGGCTCCGTGAATGGCTGAATGATGAACGAGTGGGTGTCATGCTGCTCTGAAGCCGCCCGACCGACTGTGGAGCACCGATCCTGGTCCCCAGGGGCCTCCTGAGCCCTGAGTGTGAACAGCAAGCCAGCGCTCTGCTCCGGAGGCTCCGGCAAAGGACAGCTCCGCATGGGCCGGGCAATGGGCTCAATGTCTACAGTTCCACTTCGTCCCACTGAGGTAGCATGCGACACTTATTCCAAGGTCCCCGGGGATTTTGAGGCCCCTGAACTCAGCAGGCAGGGGCTGAGGACGAGCGCGCAGGGCCCACCGCGCCACTGCCTTTCCTAGGTTTCATTCCTGCCACCCTAGCGCTCGGTCCGTTTCCCGATCGTCCTTCCCTCATTTTCTCCATGACAGTTTCTCAGCGCTTCCCACTCCCTGTTTACCAAGTGCTCACTCCCTCGTAGTCCGCCGCTCCCTCATCTGTCCTCCGACCCCTCCCTCGACCTCCCTCGGCTTCCCCCTCCAGTATCAGCAGAGGCCTATCCACCTCGCGCTGCCCTTGTCGTCACGTGATCAGGCCCCGCCCCACCGTCACGTGAGCCACCCGCCCCGCCCCCGCGCCGGCGCGCTCTGACGTGCCCTGGAACTTAACCTCCCGCGGAGACTAGTCTGCGGGACCCGGCCGGATGCGGCCGGTACCCTGTGAGAGTCCTCAGGCTCGCTTCGGCGTCCAGCAGCCCCGGGCTGGGCGAAGAGGAAGCTGCTTCCACGAGGCCGCTGGGTCTTCGGTATGATGGTGGGCGCGGATCCCGCGGATGGAGGGGAGGTTGGTGGGCCGCTGCACAAAGACGCTCCGGGGTCGCAGTTGCGCCCGCCGAGGGTTCCTCACTGACATCACACTAAACAGAAAATGCTAGTGTGGAGAGGCCGGGAGCGCCGCCTTGAGGGGTCCGGACGCGGGAGTGGGCGCGGGGCTAGAGGGGCTGTTGCCAGCCCCGCGGCTGACGTGGGCGAGAAGGTTTAAATAGCTCGAAGTCCTGGCTCCTCTGACCCCCGGGTTTCCTGACTTCCTGTGTGAGGGCAGCTCCCGCCCCGCCCCCAGGAAGGAGGGTGTCAGGGTGTGTGCTTCTGGTGCGCGCGCGCGCGCGTGTGTGTGTGTGTGTGTGTGTGTGTGTGTGTGTGTGTGTGTGTGTGTATTAAAGACTGGCTGGTGCCACCCTCCTTTCTCGCCGCCTGCCCGTAGCTGCTGTCTGCTGTAGGGTGTGCAAACCTCCGCCCACGCTTGTAGCCCACCTGGGGACTGTTGACCTTACCCTGGGCACTTGCATCTTTGCAGTCTTTAGAGGTGCCCCGCCCCTGCTGAATGCGTATTTGCTACTTTCCAACTCCTCTGGAACGTATCTTCTCAGAGTCCTTGAATTTAAAACATCCTCTTTACAAGCTTGCTGTCCTCTTCCCATCTTAGGGTCCTTGATTGCTTTCCAAGAGAATCAGTTGACCTGTGTGTGTTGTATCTTAAGTTATTGTAGACCCTCTGAGAAAAATGTCCACATCCAGGGAAATTGGCACGGCCTTCAGTTTTACGGATGTGTGTTGTTTTCCTTCTGGCTGCAGCAGCAGTTTTAAATACATTTGTAAAGGCTGAAAAAGCAAAATGTTTAAAGCATATCTTTATGGAAGTTCTAATGTCATTCCAAGTGAAGTGTTTGTTGTGGATAAAGGCTGTTAACACTGGTATTGCTTTATGGGTAAAAATGACATATGGAAGTAGTTTTATTGACCATTTGTGCACATATTGCTAAGAGGAGGTTATTGTAGAGAAAGGAGCACGAATGAAGAGTCACTTGGGTTCTGGTTTAGATTCTCCCACTCATTTCTAAAGGTGAGAGCTTGGAAGACTGAATGTTACAGTGAAAGGTTGTCAAAAAGTATCTAGTCCCTTGTCATGTCTCTTTCATATTTAAGGTTGGGAAATGTTGGCCTGGAGATGTATTTGTTTGTCCATATCCAGTGGTCTTTACCTGATCTGTAGGAGGGTGTATTAAAGAATGGGTCATCTTACTGTACCTTTTCTGGTCTGGCTTTTGTCAGTACTTGTCTTTCTCTTTGTTTTAAACATGCTCCTGGAAACGTTTCAGAGCATGAATTGGGGAGCCCAGAGCAGTGCTTAAGAGCAGGCTGTTAAGACTTGACCGGAAGTCATGTAGCCTCAAGAGCCAGACAGGCTGGGCACTTATGTGTGACCCATGATTTGCATGTAGCTCCGCTGCTCTGGAGGTGTTTCTCTGTGGAAAAAATAAGGTAACAGATTGTGTATGTGTGTGTTTGTATGTATGTATATGCCCTAGTCTTTGTTGATAGACTTGTTGGTACTATATTAATCATAGTAGTTGGAGAAGATTACTAATTCACTAACTCTTAATGTCATCTGTAGTTGTTCATCTATAGTCAATATTATATATATGTTTGGTTTGGTTAATCTTCACCTGAGAATTATTTTCCTTTTTTTTTCTTTTTTTTTAGAGAGAGAGAGTGTGGAAGGGAGGGGGAGAGACAGAGAGACATCGAAGTGAGAGAGATACATCCATTGGTTGCCTTCCGGCCAGGGTTGGGGATCCAGTTACTACCTGCCCTTGATGCCCTTGACCTGAATGGAACCCGGGATCCTTCAGGATGCTCTCTCCACTGGGACAAATGGGCTAGGCTAGGGCATGTAACTTTAATTTTTTTACTTACTATACCAGTTGTTGTAAGGTTCAAATGATCATAGCAAATGCTGTAGAAAAACAACATATTATTTGTAGTTAATCACTTGGCTTTTCTTCCATTAATTAAAAATTATCTGTTGAGTGCTTTTTAAAGTAAAAGGTGGATAGAAAGTGGGCTCTAAAAATTTAAGTACTTTAAGTTATGAGTTGACATTTCTAAGAATATAAGACTAATAAAAATTTTAAGTTGACCAAAACAATGAATATAGCGATGTGTAAAATTATTAAATGGTAGTACTAATATCTTGCTTATCTGAGAAAATTGGTACTAGGAAAAGCTTAAGGTGAATCTGCTTAAAACAGGCACTATAATTTTATAATAAGTAGTGGGAGAGGAAAGTGGATTTAAACTTTTATAACAGCTTTAGTTATATGTTGCAAAAATTGCAAATGTGCACTGTTTTGTGGAATGCATCAGATGTGAAAAGGTATGATGGTACCACATGGCATCATTGTACTTCAAATCCTGCTTTTTAAATCATGCTATTTTGAGGAACTCATTGGGCCATTATCTTTGTGGTTTTTCTTTTCTTCATTTGTTAACTGGTCTAATTGTGCCACATCCTCATTTGTGGATGGCTTTGCAGTGATTTGGCTATTTTCCTATTACTTTTATTGACTTTATTGACTTAGTAAATATCCTCAGTTTCATTTTGCTGTTGATAAAGCTTTTTCTTGGAACAGAACTGCCAAATGCTGACATCTCTAAATGCTTCTCAGACTTTAATGTGCATGGGAATCATTTGAACTCTAACAAGCCCCTAGGTGATAACTCATGCTGCCCTTCTGCCAGAACACAGATCACTGCTATCCAAGAGAAATAAATGCCAGTTGTCTGTGTAAGTTTGAAGATTTAAGTAGCTACATAATAAAAGTGGGGGAAAAAAACCTCAAGTGAAATAAATTTATCATTTTATCATGTAATCAATATGAACTTATTAATGATTTTTTTAATACTAATTCTTTTTTTCAAACTAAGTCTTCGAAATCTCATGTGTACTTGACAGCACATCAAGTTTGGATTAGTCACACATCAAATGCTCAATAGCCACATTTGGCTAATGGCTGCTGTATTGAACAGCACAGGCCTGGAGTCTAGAATCTAGATCAGCCGTGGGCAAACTACAGCCCGCAGGCCGGATCCAGCCAGTTTGAAATGAATAAAACTAAAAAAAAAAAAAAGACCATACCCTTTTATGTAATGATGTTTACTTTGAATTTATATTAGTTCACACAAACACTCCTTTCATGCTTTTGTTCCGGCCCTCCGGTCAGGTTTAAGAACCCATTGTGGCCCTCGAGTCAAAAAGTTTGCCCTGATCTAGATCAGTGCTCTTTTCAGTGTATTTTTTTTGGATTGGCCCCATGAGCAACCTTTGGGAATTTGTTAGAAATGTAAATTTTGGGTCCCTACCTCATACCTCCTCTCTTTAGAATATCTGGTTTCAGTAACTTGTGTTTTGAAAGCTACAGGATATGCTTCACAATGTATATGTGGTATTCTGAATGGGATCCTACAACAGAAAAAAATTTAATCGGGAAGAACTAAGGAAATCTGAATAAAGTATCAACATTATTATCAGTATTCATTGAATATGACAAATACACCATACCATAAGATAGTAGGGGAAATTGTGGACAGGGTATATGGGAACTCTCTGTACCATCTTTGCAATATTTCTGTAAATTTGAAACTTATCAAAAATAAAGGTTTTTTGTTGTTTGTTTTTTAAGCAGCTCTCCAGGAGATTCCATTGTTCACTAAAATTTTGAGGAGCAGTGATCTAGATCACTAATATGACCTACACCAGTGGTTGGCAAGCTCATTAGTCAACAGAGCCAAATATCAACAGTACAACGATTGAAATTTCTTTTGAGACCCAAATTTTTTAAACTTAAACTACATAGGTAGGTACATTGTTATTAACTTAATTAGGGTACTCCTAAGGCTTAGGAAGAGCCACACCAACGGGCCAAAGAGCCGCATATGGTTTGCGAGCCATAGTTTGCCCACCACGGATAACTGCAACTTGGGTGGGCAGAATGAAGGATAGTATTAGGTCTGGTAGGGTAATAATAACAGTATTTTTGTAATAAGAGCTAAAACTTATAAAGCACTTACTATGTGCCAGGCATTATGCCATGTGCTTTACACATATCCACACTAAATCTCCCAGTATGTGGACTGTCCTATTAATAAGCTTTTTATAAATGGAAAAAAAAAAACTGATGCTCAGAGAGGTTCAGTGGCTTAGGTCACAGAGCTAGCAAGAGGCAGAGGCAGGGATTTTTGAGGAGAGACTAATTTTATAATCGATCAGTTCATTTGTGAGTTTTTTTACTCTCACAAATTTTGCTTCTTTGAGTAAGCAACAATTAGTGTGGATACTCTGTATCATTCCCTGTAGTTTATAAAGCACTTTTTTTCTTTTCATTCTCACAAGGATCTTGTGAGGTTTGTATTTTTTTCCTTTGTTTTTCAAATAAGTCAGGATGTTCAGGGTCTGAGAGCTGATAGATGGCAAACCCTAGATATAAATTTCAGGCCTCTGACACTAAGTTCTGTGCTTTTTCCCTTTACTGAAGGAGAATTTAGAATATATCTTGAAGTTAGAGGGATATTTTTAAAAATTTGCTGAAAATACCTTGCATTTTGCAATGCATTAGTGGTTTATTTAAAAATTCAATTTTATTGAGGTGTAACATATACACTAAAATACACTAACATTCAGCAATTTAGAGAATAGATGCATCCACCAAGATGGGTGAATCTCAGAAGCATTATTTTAAGTGAAACAAGCCAGATATAGAAGGCTACACAGTGTATAATTTGTGAATACTTTCCTGTCACAACTTCCATGAGTAAACAGTGTTGAGGGCAGCCGTGGGCAAACTACGGCCCGCGGGCCGGATTCGGCCCGTTTGAAATGAATAAAACTAAAAAAAAAAGACCGTACCTTTTTATGTAATGATGTTTACTTTGAATTTATATTAGTTCACACAAACACTCCATCCATCTT